TTTCTGCACCCAAAATGCCCTAAAATCATGCACTTTCCTCAGATATGCTGAAAGTACTGGTAATTTCCAAGCAAACAGCCTCCTTTCTGCGTTTCTCTTGGACCTCGCATGGCTTTCGTACCACGGCGGAATATGAACCGTGGACCTAGTTTCCATTTTATTTTCCATTATCCAATATAATATCACCCCAATGTAACCCCTAGACCCCTGCTACTTCCAGCAGCCCACAAGCCTTGGACGTGGCGGATGCCTTCGCTGCGGCCGCAGCCGCCAAACCCACAATGCCGACGGAGATCTGCAACACACATTAAACTTGACTTGCTTTGGAATCTTCCTGTGTAGGGTATTAACCCAAGACCAGTATCTCAACAGATCTTTGAAATTACAACTACTGCTACCAGCATTCTTCAGCAATTCAATGCATCTCCTTGGTAAACTTGAAAGCCAGAAGAGGCAAGGTAGTTTTGACCTTTCACCGCAGGATCGTCAAAACAACTAAGCAGCAAGAGGCCGAAACAGTCAATACTCCTTTATGCAGACAATGCATACAAAATCGAGCGAGTTCATGTCACACTTGTCAGAAAAGTTGGAAATGATCCGTCTTCCGGCTGCAGAGCCTCGACATCAAGCCCGGAGCCGGGCGACTTCATTCAAACATCCCCTAATCAGTGCAGCCTGTGAACAGCTTCTAACATGGCAAGCTCAGCATATCGAATCTGATCATATGCCGCATCCCAGTGTCTTGCAGCCATATGCCTTGTCGCCTTCAACGGAAAGGATCTCCAGCTCAGCTTCCTGGCATTTCACGCTGAACGGTGAAAAGGTCTCAGAACCTTCTTCACAAGCTTGGTGTAAAAAAGAAGCGGATTGCGTCAGCGTTTCCCAAAGCTAGCTCGGAATTCTTCTGCACAGCCCAGCCCATCCTCCCCTTCGGCATACTCTATCGCGCGCTTGCTCAAGTTTTTCGCTGGAGCCAGCGCATCCCTGCATTGCAGGAGTTAGACAGTTCACTCAAGATGTGTCAGCGCATGCTACACAAACAAGGCTCCTCATCCCACCAATGTCAAAGAAAACGCCGTAATTCTGCGTGCTTCTGACTTTGCCAGTGACCTGACCAGGAGCATGTGACAGTCTAAGCTCTTGCCTTGGAAACCAAGACTCTGAATCACCAACCAGAAAGTCTCTGAAAGGGTGCCTTCTGACCAACAGAAAACGAGCTCGGCAGCTCGCCAAGCGTCACCCTGGCCAAAGCCATGTGCAAGGCTGGACTGCTGGTGGCTTGCGGTTTCGAACAGACTTTGATTGGCAAGCTTACGCTGGAAAGTCGTCGCTGCAATCAATCAAGACAGAAAGACGGCTGTGACAAGCAACAAACCCCCAAAGGATTTCGTTTCCTGGCCTGATCTTGCGAGTGGCAGGGCTGTCCCCCGCCTCAACCTCGCACAAACAATGAAGGGCAATACGTCCACTTGCCGGCGTCCCAACTTGGTTCCGGGGCTCGCCAGCATCAGTGATATGGAAGGGAATATGCACGGCAATTTCTCATCCCTTTGCCCTTTTGCACAAGACCCTCAAGAATCCTCTCACCCACAGCAATAGCTAATACAGCATCCGTGCTGAGCCTGCCAGATCTTCAAGCCTGGAATCTGATCGCCAGCTTTGTACTCCTTGCCCTGGCGTTGCTTTCAGGAGCAGGACACACCCCCCGGCTTTAGGGAGTTTTTCTCAGGGTGCAAGGATAAGAAAGTGATGTTGACAGTTGCTGCCTAACGGCTTGATCTAGTTTTCAGGTCAAGCAACCTCTCCAGGCTAGAAAAACCTTCTCCAGCCTCTTGTGCGCTAGTGCAAGAATCAGAAGCACGTTTACAATTGCATCCTCTTGCTGCTAACCTTCTTCAGCGAGGCTTAGCAACAAGCATGGGTGATAGCCAAGTAGCCTGGCCTTCGGGACCATGTTCCTGGGAAGCAGAGCATCCTGCTGGGCTCCAGAGCGGCAACCGAATGAAGTAATACGGCACTTTTGAACTTTGGTTCCCTGACCACATGGAGAGCACAGGTATGACAACTTCCGTCCTTCTCAGCGCCAATGTCGACGTAAACGCCGATTTTCGCATCGCGGGTCACTGTGCCCGTAACCCTTTGCTAACAGGACTTCATGACAGGAAGAGACCGCTGACAAAAAGTGGGATGAGATGGAGAAAAAAGAATGCAGCTTCCTGGGGCCCAAGCTCCTCACCGACCTCCAAGGATTCTAAGGATCTGCCCTCTGCCTGAGCACATCGCATTGCCATCCATACCATTTCCACTACCAGACTTCAGGAGCCACCCATTCTTCGCGAATTCCCTGCCTTCACTATGGTGCGTGCAGGACGACCTGAATCCTTCCTGCAGCAGAGCACTGGAAATGCAAGTTCGCATCTTTTGCCTTGCAAATGGATACTGACCGCTAAGACTCTAATCTGGCTCAAGCCGGCCTGCGCACGTTGTGCGCCGCTGTCAAGAGCACCAGGATGGCAGCAGAGGCGCCCAAGGTGGCGCTGCCTCCTCACGTATCTGAACATGCAAAATTCCGGAACCATTACCATGGCTGAATATGACAATGGGACATGCACCAAAACTAGAGAGTAAACTTCTTAACAAGAAGGAATACCTTTTCATTTCAGCGACTAAACTAGACACACATATTAGGAAACCCCTGATCCAGACTGAAACCCGAGGAATCCCGATATGCACCAACAACCAAACCAACCCAAAGAGATGGTGGCCTGAGGGCGTAGAGGTCGGAGCCCGTGGCGCCGCGCTGGCGCCCCGGAGAGCCGCACCTTACAAATTTGAGAGCTCATGCGAAACCGTGAAGTTTTTCGGAAGTCCGCCGGCACAAATGACAACATTCGCCGCATCACGGCATGGTTGCGTTGCAAGAATCAAGCGGTACAAAGGATGTACTGTAATTGTGTATTGGCCGTGGAATATCCCACTCTGACAAGCCAGCCGCTTGCACCAGTCGGCGCAGATGCAGCTGTAGGGCCCACGAAGGCATCGTCCCATGGCAATGCCTGAGCTTCCGCCAGTGACATCGTTCATTCAAGACATCCACAAACCTGTCTCAGGATAACACCACGATGTAGTACACGGCGGCAAGACTCAGGGAGACCAACAGCACACCTAGCGCAAAGGTTGCAGCATCACTACGCCCACATTCAGTCATGCAAAAATTTAGTCTGCGAAGCCTTGGGCAGTAAAGCCCTTGGTGCGCCGGAGGAATGCCATCGTGGGCAGCAGGTGGCCTTGCAGCAAGCATGAAGAAAACCCAACCCACCAAACTCAGACACCACATCGGATTGAAGACGCCCAACATCTTATCGTCACATGCTGCACCCCAAAAGTTTTGTCCAGCCTGCCGCTTGTTCAGGGCGTCAGGCTGCAAAACACGGAGAACCGAAGCACAACCGATTTTAACGTGTCTGGACGCAACAAAATCTTCAAGGAAGCAATCAACCCAAATTTTGACCACGCAAGTTTGCATGTACAAAGGCAAGGCAAAATGGGAGCTGCGTTGTCATGTCCGCATACCACATGCTGTACTAACCCGTTGTTGCAAGCTCGCTCCGTTGGCCGGCGACATTTGTCGCCCGAACATCCGCTGGCTGTGTTCAATATTCGCAACAACGACCACCCAAAACATCACAAAAATCGGTCTGAAGCCAGCATAAACCAACTCAACTCAGGTATCGGCCCACAGGACTTCGGGTCTGATGAAACGAAACATGCGATGCCAAAAGGCAAATACTATGCTTAAACTTCAACACACAAATTTCCGAACTCTGATGAGGAATTAATTTCA